CCCCTACCTCTCACCTACCGTAGTGCTCTCAAAGACCCAAATTGGCACAATGCTATGTGTGAAGAGTTTAATGCTTTGATTAAGAATGATACATGGGAATTAGTACCCCCATCCCCCCACCAAAATATCATAACCGGAAAATGGCTTTTTAGGCACAAACTTGGCCCTACAGGTGAGTTAACCAGGTACAAAGCTCGATGGGTCGTTCGGGGCTTCAACCAGAGATTCGGAGTCGACTATGATGAGACATTTAGCCCTGTGATCAAGCCAGCTACTATACACATCATTCTCAGCATTGCTCACTCTCGAGGATGGCCGGTCCACCAGTTGGACGTCAAAAATGCCTTTCTTCATGGCCATCTGCAGGAAGTTGTCTATGCCTCTCAGCCATCAGGATTCCAGGATCCTCACAGGCCCGACTATGTATGCAGGCTCAAGAAGGCTCTCTATGGCTTGAAACAGGCCCCTCGTTCGTGGTACCAACGATTTGCTGGGTTCATCTACACGCTGGGTTTTCGAGGGTGTAAGTCGGACACCTCTCTCTTTATCTACTCTCATGGGACAGACACTGCCTACCTACTCCTCTATGTTGATGACATCGTTCTCACAGCTTCCTCTGAGTCACTCCTTCAGCGTCTCACTGAGCGTTTAAGGGGGAATTTGCTATGACTGACATGGGCGACCTTCATTTTTTCTTAGGCATCATTGTTCACCGGACAGCTCATGGTCTCTTTTTGCATCAGACACAGTTCACGCACGACATCCTTGAGCGTGCCGGCATGATCACCTGTCGTCCCATCTCCACTCCAGTCGACATGAAGGCCAAACTGTCTGGCACATCAGGCTCCCTGGCAGCCGACCCAGCTCTCTATCGCTCCATTGTTGGAGCCCTCCAGTATCTCACATTCACCAGGCCAGACATCTCTTACTCTGTTCAGCAGCTCTGTCTCCATCTACACGCCCCCCGGGATGCCCACGTCACGGCTATGAAGCGCGTCCTACGCTATCTCCGTGGCACCTCCACCTACGGTATGACTCTATCTCCCTCCAGCACCGATTCTCTCCAGGCCTATTCTGATGCTGATTGGGCTGGGTGCCCTGACACCAGACGATCCACATCAGGTTACTGTGTCTTCCTTGGGGACAACCTCATCTCTTGGTCATCTAAATGCCAGGCCACTATCTCCCGATCTAGCGCTGAAGCAGAGTACCGAATTGTTGCCAATGCCGTTGCCGAAACCAGTTGGATCCAAAATCTTCTTCTCGAGGTACAACAGCCCCTACGCCGCGCCACACTTATCTTCTGCGATAACGTCAGTGCTGTTTACCTCTCCACCAACCCGGTTCAGCATCAGCGCACCAAACACATTGAGGTAGACATTCACTTTGTTCATGACAAGGTGGCCCTTGGTCAGATTAGAGTTCTTCATGTGCCGTCCTCATCACAGTACGTTGACATTTTCACAAAAGGCCTCCCGTCCATATTATTTCAAGATTTTCGGACAAGCCTCGGGATTCGCCCACCACTGACGCCGACGTAGCCGGGAGCATGCTAAATATATACTATATTTATGTTAAATATATATTCTATATTTATTGTACACATATTGTTTCCTATTGTAGAATCCTACCATAATTAGGATTAGGAATAGCTTGTGTATATAAACACATGTACTCCCACGTTATTGTTTAAGGAAAATCATAATTCTTCAAAAGGATATTCAATACACGATCTTTTATAATAGAGTGTTTCCCATATTTAGTTTTCTATTATCAAACATTACATTTGTGGCGAGTATCTTTTTACGGATAATCTTTTTTGACCTTCTGTTATATTGGTGTTGAATCGAGGGTTAAATTTTAATTTCATTTTGATCATATATCGAGTGACATATTCTGTTGCTGGCTTGACGGGTAACACAACAATAATGACTATGACTATGAACTAGAATTTTGATCAAAGATGACATTTGTAGACTATGGTGACTTAGACAATTCAAGGAAGATATATAATATCATTGTGAAATTAAACTTTTAGCATTCAATTTAAATCAACATGACAAAATATCAAAAATGGACCGAATTCCAGAAATTTGATTTTCGAACTGTAAAATTATATTTTTGATAACATTCAACTATGTTCAATAAGAAAATGATTTCCAGAAATAAACATGATATTTTGACAAATTTTAGAACCTTATGTGATGCATGGCGGTAAGCTAGGGTGTTAACACTCGATGCTGGGCCGCTATTTGTTATGATGATTATTATTGATTGTTGATTATGATGATTAAAATGTGATGAATCTTGTTATTAAAAATGAATATATTTATGATTATTGAAATGATGTACATTATTAAGGGTATCTAGAAAAACTCTAAGATATACCTATGTGACCAATTTAGTAGCTAGGGGTTAAAACGTATGTATGCGATCCACAACAAAACTTGAGTATTTATTTATTTGGGGATATCACCCACCCGGCAGTAAATAGTCCCCTGTTCGGTTTGGAGCGTGATCCATAAGACTCGTAGAATAGATCATTGATTCTTTTGTTCTACGTTAAACTAATTATAGTTTAAGAGCCCGATTAAAAATATTGTCCTAGACTAAGAATATTTTAAGAGCTTTGTTATCAATATAAATAAAGAGTAACTCCACTTTCCACTCCCGATGATAAAGCAAGCCTGGAATTGGTTGAGCCACGCCAACCCCTTCTTCCGGGAGACTGGAATGGCTGCCCATCTCAAGACCTGGCTGCTCTTCATCCAATTCGCTCCCAAAGCTTCGCATATGCTCATCCTCCATCTCACTTTCCTCGTATTCGCTGTTAGCAATGACTATGCCAACGTCAGAGCTGGTCTCAGAGGACTCACTCTCTCTGTCCTCACTGTGTAATGAATCGATATTCTCTCTCTCTCTCTCCGTTCTCAAACCTCTCATCTTCGGGCTTCATCCCTTGATAGTACTCAGTGATTTGAGATTCAACAAGTAACTGGATCTCAGAAATTTGAGAATCCATATCAATGTTGGGGATGAAGATTAGATCTAGGGTTTTGTGGGAGAAGAAATTTACACAGACACGAATAGA